ACTGCTCACTCTCCATCCAGATTAGTCCTAGTCTGAAGGGGCTCCAATCTCAACCCGACGGGGGTGTCTCCAATTTCCTTACATGAATTGCCAAACAGGCTAGCCAGGGCATTGCGTTGCCGGAAGACCTAATAACTAGAACCCTACCTTAGGTCGGTCGAGGAAGATTCCAAAGAGGTCACCTTCATAGTCATCTTCGCCTTGCCAAACGCTCTCTCTATACTAGTCTGTCGCATGTGGGAGAAATCAAAGTCGTGCTCCAGTGCAGTCCCATCCTGAGGACCACCTTCACCATCTCAGGTGAACCTATTTAAGCTACCGACAATCCCATGGTAAAAACGTGTGGGTCAGCAGCACTAGGTAAGCCTAGTATGGTGACCTCACAGTGCATCGGGTAGCCCTCTGACCACCCTCTCAATATTGCCATCGTCTCAGGAGGTATCTACTAGATAGGAACCTCCTCCGGGAGGAGTCCTCCCTATCTCAACATCTAGGTACGACCTCAAATGATATCCTCATATGCCCCATCGCCTCAACTTCTTCATTTTCATTCAACCGAGTAAACTTCACACTCCGCTTCTCAAGCTCTGAAGGCGATCAACAACCAAAGATTCTCCTCCTCCTCCACAACAGCGCACAGCGAAGATTTCCCCTACCATTTGGCACGAATTGCCACCGGTCAGTCTTGGCCTCCTCAAGCCAGGTAATCTCCCTCTCGGCGTCTTTACGGAGTGAATTGTGCTTCTGATCAGTATCCAGAGGTTGACGTGGCAAGATACGGAATAGGACACCTCATCCTACCACAGCCTCATCCTTCAACTTGATCATCATTTCAGCTTCACCTGGCTTTGGTTTGCCAGCTAGACGCCTCAATACTTGTCCATGGGGCGGGGGGTCCAGCAAGTCTGGTGACTGGGAGAGCCTACAACCCAGTGGTATGGTCCACAGCAAGGACCCCTCTCGAGGACCCCTCTCGAGGACCCCTCTCGAGGACTACCTTAGACAGAATAGTGCATGGTCCTTATGGCCCTTAGAAGCCTCTTGTAGCCTATGCTGGAGCTGGTCGAGGACAGCCCTCCGATCCACTTCTGACTGACCCATTATAACCTCATCAGTGAGTGAGGGTGGTACCTAGACCTTCGATGAAGTCCAGGGTGCCATAAACAAGCCCATCGCTGCCCTACCCGACCCTCCTTTATCGCAATACGACATTGCTTCGCTCCGCCATCTAGGATATCTTTCAGGTTGACTGCTGAATGGAGGAGATCCCTAAGGAGAAGTTTCCAAGGCCTCCTACCCTTCCTTGTCCAACCTTGCTCTCTGTGTGAGCCCAGCAGCAGCTAATGCCCCAGCAGCTTTCTGATAGGCCCTCATTCTCCTCAATACTACTGTCCTATGTTCCTCATACCGCTCTTCGTCCTCTTCCTCTTCTTCATCCTTACTCTTCAGCTCGTCTGTGAGGATTCCTCCTTCATAGCCACGATAGAACTCCACCCAACTCACCCATAGCAATATCTATCCGTCTCTTGACAATGATACGGTCACTAGAGTCCAGATGCTCCAAGAGGGCCTCATCTGCATCAATGCGAGCCTTCACCCTCTCAGCGTACCTATACGAAGCTCAACAACCTCCCTCCTTGTGCAGCAGCTGCCTACCCCTCTGAAGAGAGCCTCCCCGACTGAACATCCAAAGTGAAGGTCCTAAGTTGGAGATCGATCTCTGATCAGGACCTTGGTGAGGCTAGCCCAGAGTAACCCCTATCCTACCTTCCTTCTCCTCATCAGTCAGGGGTAGAGGTGGCCCATCCCCTCTCCTCCCAAGATACCACTCCATAACCGATACACTCACCAACAGCGCGCATGCATGAGGATCAGCGGCCTCTACCACTGCCGCAGTCTGACCATAGTCTTCATCCTGCAACCCAAGAGACTCCATCAACTCATCACTCGTAGGGCCAGGGGGAGGGTGTAGGGACGGCTTCGAGGAAGGTCTACCCTGAGCACAGTAGGAGTCATCCTCCTACCACATTGTATAGCCCAATACCTCCGCCGTAGCAGCTTCCATCACTGCATCTACCTCTTCAGGGTCCTCCTCTTCCTCTCCGGTCATATCAGCCAAGTCCTTTAGCAAAGCAGGGTCGAAATCGATTGATCTCGTCAGAGTCCAACCCCATATTGCGTAGCTCGGCCTCTAGAGAAGCCTCATCGAACTTGGGGGCTGTAGGGATGTTCGACACTTTAAGAATGGATAATACAAAAACTTACAGCGAGTATAGGCGGACCCAGGACGCTACTGTGAGAGTAGTAAGAAACGTGTTGAAACTAGATTCATGAGAGTAAGTCAGGCTCTATCTTGGCTCGCCAAATGCCACGAACACTGTTGAAACACTGAAAGGAGGACGATGATAAAAACCATAAGCCGTCATTACAACTACCACTATCTCATGACCAGCCTGTATGTATTCCTTCAGCATCTCCAATGTAATGATCCTCTCAATAGCCTTACCACTGTCTAGTAGCCACCTCCTATAGCACCCTGGTAGGAGACCACACTCTACTGGAGGGGTGATGATTAGCCCGTCATCCCCTCTGAGACCGATATTCGCGATGGGGGTCTCAGTGACTTCACTACGCTCATTATAGAGTATACATGAAGACTGTACGGGAGGTGGATAGAGCCTCCGATCATTGGTCTTATGCCTCAGCCTTAGGTCCGAGTGGTCCACACCAAACTCAGCTAGGTGGAGGTACTGACAGGATATAGGGGTAGGACACTCCTCACAAGTCCACCTTTCCTCGACAAGGCCACAGCTCATCTCTAATCGTAGTCGTCTAGGCCCACTTATCCCCATAACTCTGGCATCCAGTACAGTCCTGAATGCCCTGTTAGCCACTGCTTGGTCTACCCCCCATAGAGTAGCAGCACTCTTGGCAAACCTGTGAGCATGCTCATTAATAAAATCTATTCTACCATCACTCCGTAATAACATAGTCTCAAAGAGGTTGAGTTGATCCAAACAAGCTACCTTTGGATAGAGGAGTACTTTAACCCCAACCTCTGTTGTGAGCAATACCTCCCTGTCTGTCAATGACCATAGCTGTGGACGGGCCT